TTGCGCCATAATTTCAAGAATAAAAAGCAATAAACATCAAAAGATGTATTACTTTAATATTGCGAATGCACCTAATCCTTGTGGATAAAATATATTTTTGATGAGGGTCCAGGTTTTCGAAATAATCAATACTCCCTTCTGCAAAATCTGAACCGGGATGCTTTGCATCTGGACCGAGCTTGTGAAAGTCGCGAATAATCGGATCCAATAGTTTGGCAAAAACTTTGTAACTCTGAGGGTCCGGCGCATAAACGCCGATAATGCTGTCCAAGTTCTTCACGCCTAAACACAAAAAGCACTTGGTCTCAACCACAAAAACTATTAAAATTTCTACCTGACCGAATCACGTGAAGAAGAGTGCCACCAGTTTTCGTTCCCTGGCTTTTCAGCTCATTCAGCAACCCTTCGGTAAGATACTTCTTGAGCAACGAGTTGCACTGCGTGCTTTGCTGTAGAACTTTGAAACCTTCTTCGCAGCGACGTTGAGTGTCACGCGTAGCATAGGGTATGTTCACATAATTTTTGTAAATTTCCGTGAACTTAATAAAAAAATAAAATCAAATGTGACAGAACGTAGAAGTGAACTTAAATTTTAATGAAGAAATAGTTCTGAAAAACAATTTAAAAAAATATATGATTGGAATAACTACAGACCGACTTGATTTTGCTAATTATTCACAGATCTTCGCTAAAACTTTGACAAACGCATTTCAAGAAAAACTCGATATAGCCAAAAAAGCAAACAGGATTCAAAAGTGAATTTAAAGCACTTTCTGAAACATGGAAATGTTGCTAGCTGTGAGACTATGGCTGAGCTGCAAACTTAAAGTATTATATCAGTGTGTGCTCTCAGTGCTAGAATGTGGGTGCGAAACGTAGACTCTACGCCAGAAAGCAGCCTATCAGCTGCAAACTACACAACGCAGCATGGAAAAATGTATGTTGGCAATATCAAGAAATTACAGGAAGACAAATGAATGCGTAAGAGCACAAACAAGATTCTGTCATATCATTTCTGGAGTAAAGAAGTTAAAGTGACCATGGGAAAGGCACGTTGCATGCAGATCCGATCATCTCTGGACCAGAGAGACATTGAACTAGATTCAAAACGTAGTAG